TTGTCTGCCTCCCTGGTATATGGCAGTTGGTACTGGTTCTTACCTGGATTTTGGTGTTTTATAGAGTGTGGTTGTAGCTTGACTATATGGCAGCAGTTACTGTCTCTTCTTGGGTAATATAGGGAGAGAAAGAGTCCCCAAAAGGTAGAAGGGGAGCATACAACAGCAAAACAGCAACAATAACAAAAGGAAAAAAAAACAAAACACCAAAACAACAACAAAAACTATACTGGATACTGTAGTCTATAATCACAGAAAAGGGAGAAGAGGGAAAGAAGAAGACGAAGGAAAAATCTGTAGCCTACTATGAGTATGATTTTAATGTCCTCTTTCAGCTTCTTGCCTTCAGAGCTGCCTAAGTGATTTTAAGGTGCCACTTTGGTTGTTGTGCTGTGCCTCAGGATTTAATTTAATTTTTGGCCTGTTTTGTTTTTAAACTCTTTCCCTTTCCACAGCCCTTGTTCAGGCTTTTCCATATTGAAAAAACAAAACAAAACAAAAAACAGTTCAGGGCCGGCTCGTGGACTGAGAGTATCTGTGCTCATGCATGGCAGAAGAACCCATCAGTGGTGAGGGTGAGGGTGTCCACTCAATCAGGTATTCCCTCTAGTTTCCAGAATGGAGGTGCACAAACAGCAGTGGGGCCAATGAACAGATATCAAAAAAAAAAAAGAAAGAAAGAAAAGAAAATCAAAACAAAGCAAAACCGAAAAAGTGTATTGTCCACCTTTGCTCCAAGGTTCATGCAGTGTTTTTCTGTGGTGTGTGTGCTCCCCCACTTGGTTTTCCAATTGGTCTTGCCCACGTTGTTGGCTCTGGGCCACTGAACTTGGCAGATTTCAACAGTACGTAATTTCTTACTTTCGCTACAAGTTTCACTAGCTATATTCAGAGCTCTGCCCTGAATCTGCTTTGCCTGGTATTCTGTGGTATTGCTGACGGTGAACCTCCTCGTTTTTCTTCCTTCTTTCTCCATTTTTCCTCCTCTTTCCCCACCCTTCGTTTTTATCTATTTATTTTAAATCCTTTCCCCATTAGTCAGGAGCTAAAGACCTATCCAAGGAGCTCTGGTAGCGAAGTCATTACAAATTGGGCTGCTACCCACAAGGTTGTTGTTGTTGTTGTTGTTAAGTACTGTAGAGTTGATTCTGACTCATAGCGACCCTGTACAGGGTTTCCGAGGCTGTAAATCTTTACAGGAGCAGAAAGCCTCATCTTTCTCCTGCGGAACAGCTGGTAGTTTCTAACTGCCTACCTTAAGGTTAGTAACCACTGATTCGTAACCACTATGCTATCAGAGCTCCTTGTAGGCAGTTTGAAACTACCAGCTACCAGCCATTCTCTTATATGTTGTTGTTATTAAGTGGGAAAAGTTATGTACCTGGTAATTCAAATGGTCACTCCACTACTGAGAGGTTCAAGTTTGGGTCCTAACATAAGAGTCTATGAAGAAAGGCCTCGCAATGTTGTTGTTAGGTGCTGTCGAGTCAGTTACAAGTCATAGCAACCCTGTATAGGGTTTCCAAGGAACAGCTGGTGAGTTTAAATTGCCAACCTTGTGGTTCAAACCAAACTTGTGCTCCAATGCTTTATCCCACAGTGCCATACCAGGTCTGGTGATATGGTGATGGTGGTGGTGGTTATGTGCTATGGAGTCAGTTCCAACTTATAGCGACCCTGTACAGGGTTTCTGAGGCTGTAATTCTTTACAGGAGCAGTAAGCCTCCATCTTTCTCCCACAGAACAGCTGGTAGTTTCAAACTGCTGACCTTGAGGTTTGCAGTCCAATTCGTAACCACTACGCTACTCAGCATGATGAATACCATTAATGGCCCACACATTGTACATTTCAAAATGTCAAAATGGGAAATATTTTTGTTGCATGCTTATTTAACACACACACACACACACACATCCTACAGCTCAAGCTCCAACTTGACACATATGGAATGAGTCAGAGTGTACAGGAGAGCAAGTGACAGTGGTCAGAGAAATGAAAATGAAATTAAAATTAAATAAGCCCCTATTTTTTTTTATCAGTTGACTCAGCAAAATGTTTTTTTTTGTTGTTTTTTTTAAAAAACAACAACAACAAAATAGAAACAACACTAACTGTTGGTTGTTGTTGTTGTTAAGTGCCATCAAGTCGGCACCGACTCATAGCGACCCTATTTGCACAGCAGACTGAAACACGGGCCGATCCTGGGCAAACCTCACTACTGCTGCCACGCTTGAGTCCATCAATGCAGCCACCTGGCCAAAAAAATAGATCTTCCTCGATACTTTTAAGGAGCCTATGTAAGCTGGTACGATATATTTCAAAGGCAACCTAGCAATAAGCATCAGGTGCCATTAAGGAAAATAAAGTTTGTGATTCAGCAATTTCACTGCTAGGAATAAATTGTTAGAATATACATAGTTTATGGAGTCCTGGTGTGGCGCTGTGGGTTATTGCACCAGACTGCAAAGCCGTTTGAACTGCAAGGTCAGCAGTTTAAGCTCACTAGCTGCTCCTTGGAAACCCTATGCAGGGTGGCTATGGGTCGGAACCGACTCAACGGTACTTAACAACAACAACCTAGTTTAGGCAAGGATTCCTGGTAGCGAGTGTAGTGGGGCAGCAATTCGAATCTACTAGCCGCTTGGTGGGACAAAGGTGAGTGAGACTTTGTGCTTCTGTTAAGATCTCTAGCCTCAGAAACAGGAAAACAGTGACTATGAGTCAGAAGGACTCAACAACATACAATCATTTTGTTGTTGTCAAGTGCCATCGACCACTTAGTTTAATGCACAACGATTCAAGTTCTATTGATTCCAGGATAACTTATGAGGGCAAACACTGGAGAGTTTAAAACCTCAAAAAGGCATATTTGCAGAACAGAATATTTGATGACAATGAAAAATCATTACACTTAACAAACTTGGCTTAAAAATATCCTGTTAGGAATATATTAAACTGTCTGGGAATTTTTAAATGCCTAGTTAAATAAAATGAGTAGTTTACAAAGCTGTGGTCACGGTGTGATTCGAATTTGATGAAGAGGTTAGAGATGGAAAGAACTATGCCAAAATGTAACCATGGCTCCCTCTGGAAGCGAAATTAGGAATTTTGTTTTCATCTACGCTTTTTGACGGGGGCGTGGCAGTAGGCAGGGGAGGTGGTCACCACCATTTCTTCCTTCTGTCAACAGGTTAAAAAGTACCACCCCACCGCTGGCAAGCTGCGCCAGCTAGTGGGCGGATCAGGCGGGCCCGCGAATGAGGACGCGTACGCGGGGTGGGGTGATCAAGTATGCAGACGCGTACACAGCGTGAGCCGGGTGCGGGGTGCGGGGCTGCACGCAATGGAGGCCGGGCTGGGGCGGGCTCCTTTGAAGCGGCGCGGATAGATAGGGCAAGAGAGCAGATGGGGAGTGGCGCACAGGGTGGGGCAGCCGCCGACAGCTGCTCGACCTCTGCGAAACTGCTGGCGGTGTTTCTGCGAGGAGTAGGCCGTGTTTTTGTTGTCCCGCCCGGCAGGGAATAAAGGATTTCTGACCTTCACTATCAGGAATTACAGGGACGGTGGTACACTATGAGTGAGTTGCTTTCCCCCGGGCTGGCGAGCTGGGCAGGAGGCGAGTGTCCCTATTGACTCACGAAGGGCCGAAGGCGTCTTTCCCTCAGGCCTCTACATAACTCTTTCTTTCTCTCTCTCCCCTCCCTTAACACCCCCCATCCCCCCAAGAACGGGCTGTTTTCGGAGCAATCGGTGGAGGTGAGTCTGCTTGTACAGCGTTACAGAAGACCACGGCTGCTAGGTGTAAGGTCCAGGCCAACTAGAGACTTTCAGGTGCAGGGGCGTGCAGCCTCCCTGCCAGCTTCCGATTCCAACTTCTATAGTCCTTGAAGTTTGAAATAAGAAGAGTGTGGCTGAAAAGATTTAAATTTCTTACTTCAAGCCTCTCATTTTCTTTAAAAACAAAAAACCGAGGCCCAAGAGAGAAGTGTCACACAGCAAGTTAGAGACTTAACTAGGAAGAAAGCCTTGGTCCTCTGTGACCTCTGGCTCCACACCCACACCCTTTTTATACCTGGGGACCCTCTTCAAGACCCTGTTTCGCATGTGCTCCCAGCAGACTGCCTAATCTCATAGCTTTCCCCAGAAATTATCCGGAATTCCTAAGCGACCTATTTCCCTGAGCCCATTGCCAGCATTAAAGCTGTGTGTCCCCCTCCCCCACCAGTCGTGGCCGTGGCGGCGGTGCCCTTGGCCCTCGGTGCCTTGGGCTTCACCGGGGCTGGCATTGCGGCCTCCTCCGTAGCCGCTAAGATGATGTCTGCAGCCGCAGTAGCCAACGGTGGTGGAGTTGCCGCTGGCAGTCTGGTGGCTACTTTGCAGTCTGTGGGTAAGTGTACTGGAAGACTGGCTGTGATCCTCAGATTCCCAGTTCTTTGTCCCTCCCTCACTGGAGAGATGAGGGGGCTGCTTAAAGAGGGCGGGAAGGAACCCTGATTTGGGTCCATGATGTCGGGGCTGGTGAGTCTAGCCTCATCCAGAGTGGATGCTGGGGACCTGGGCAAGTTCCTCTGCTCTGAACCTCACATAACCCTTTTGTAAAGTAAGGGAACCTATAGCTCTTGGGTCTGTGGCAGGTTGCCCTCTGTTTGTCACTTCCCATGAATTTGCCCAGTGTCCTGGTGTGAAGTTGTAGGATGAGCACTTGACCTCAAAGTCAGGTTGAAATTCAAGATCAGAGGTTAAAACTCACCAGTTGCTCCTCCAAAACCCTATGTAGGGTTGCTATGAGTCAGAACAGACTCAACGACACTTAAAAACAGAAACTTCTCTCTTTCAGCTCCTTCCAGCATCCTCTCCTGAAAGCAAGGACTTCAGGATGTGGAAGGGGCCTTCTGAGGGGCCTGGGACCCCTGGTCACAGCACGTCCGCCTGTGTTCACCCTCTTTCTTTTTCCCAGGGGCAGCTGGACTCTCCACATCTTCCAACATTCTCCTGGGCACCACTGGATCAGCTTTGGGGGCCCTTATGGGGGGTTCAACAAAGAAGCCCCCACACACAACTAAACCGTCATCTGGAGATGAGGACTCAGCTGAAGAAGCTGAGGAAGGGGACCTGGCTGAAGAAGCAGAAAATGTGCCCAAAGTTAAACCTCCCAACCCCCTGCTCAGATCCAAGAAGCATGAGAAATAAAGTTCTTGGGCTGATGGTCGCTGTGTCCTTGCTTCTTACAGCTACAAGTGGGCTGGAGGCTCCACTCAGCTCATGGAGGGCAGAGGCAGATGGTGGGTTGACCAAGCACCAAGCCAGACTTCAACTGGTCCTCGCTTTACCAAGTACGAGCAGTATGACCATATTTCTGCAAGCCTCACTTTACCCTTTACTTCATTCAGTGATGACATTGACAAAGGTCACCATTGGGAGGCAGGAATGAGGAGCTTTTTCAAGGACACGTTGAACCACTGATGCCGCAGTCCTTTGTTCTTCCTCTTTGTGGGTCACTATTGTTGTGAAGTGCCATCGAGTCGGTTCCAACCCATAGCGACCCTGTATAGGGTTTCCAAGGAGCAGCTGATGAGCTTGAACTGCCAACCTTGCAATTCAAACGGCTTTACAGTCTGGTGCATTAACCCACAGTGCCACACCAGAGACATGCTTTATCTCGGGGCCCTTGATCCTAGAGATCATGAATCTTGCTGTCCCTCTTAAACCTTAACTTGTGCCTGTTTTAAAGCTCCGTCGTCTCCTTCTAACCTTGCTTGTGTGAGCTTGATCACGCAGCAGGGCAAGTTGAACCAGGTGACTCTGCTGTGTCCAGAAAGTGGAGTTCATAATTCAGCAGACCCATGCCACTCAGGGAAGGGCTCCCCATGAGGCAAGGACTACTGCTGACCATTCCTACCTGTCTGCCTATTGTTCCTGCAGAGGCAACACCTGAGGGACCAGTGGTCCAGAGGTAGGACCAGAGAGTCAGTGGCCGAATGAAGGTAGGCCCCCTGGGAACCATGAAACCTCACCTTCATGAGTTGTGGGGAAGAAGTTAGGCCAGGGTGCCCAAGACTCATAGTAGGCCTGGGAGAATGGGTGTTGTCCAGGGTTAGACCTTTGCGTTGGCAGGAGAGGGAAGACTGCTCTGTGGAGGGGCTTCTGTCTTCTACTCCCAGGAGACCTGCAGAGGCTTGAATGATGCCCTGCAATTAAAGGAATGTGTTTAGGAAAATGTGCATTTTAGTCCTGGTGTGGCGCTGTGGGTTAATGCACTGGACTGCAAAGTCAGTTTGAACCACAAGGTCAGCAGTTCAAACTCACTAGCTGCTCCTTATACAGGATTGCTATGGGTTGGAACTAACTTGATAGCACTTAACAATAACAACATTTTAGGGGGAGAGTGTCCACAGCTTTTATCAAACTCCCCAAAGCATCAAGAAAGGGGGAAAAGGCAAAGAAGATGGCACATCAAGAATTAATAATACATAACAGATTGGTTCTTATGCTGAACAAAAGCCAGCCTCCACCAACCCAGCTGGAGCCACTTGGGAACATACAGATGAGTGAGTCTGAACAGTTTTAATTGTTGAGAGTGTTTGCCTCAACCGCTGGCTTTTTACTGGATACAGACAACCTGTATGGCCGCTGGCAGAGCCCAGGGCAGGCATGGCAAGAGGGCAGGGCACATGACTAGGTCACTGCCTGGCTTAAAACAATCAGTTTCTGCAAACTGTGGGATAAGCCCAAGTTTCCTACCCTAGTGTCCCAGGGCTGCCATAATAAAGAACCACAAACCAGAGCTATAAGAACAGGAATGTATCCTCTGACAATTCAGGAGCCTGGAAATCTGGTGACAGAGCTTTGTCTTTTGGGAGTCTTTAGAGGAAAGTTTTTTCCTGCGTCTCCCAGCCTCTGGGAGTCCCCAGTGTTCCTTGGCTCCTAGCTACAGCGTGACTCTGTCATACATGGCCATCTGTCCTGTGTTCATCTCTCCTCTTTGTGAAAACATCACTCATGTTGGATTAGGACCCGCCGTTCCGCGGGAGAAAGATGAGGTGTTCTACTCCCATAAGGATTTACAGCCTAGGAAACCCTGTGCAGGGTCTCTATGAGTCGGAACCGACTCTACGGTGTTGAGAGCTACAAACGCCATTACAAGATGGCGCTGACCTCAACTTCCTCCTTCTTGTTTCCTTGTCTTTCTCCACGTGCGTGCAGGCGCTGAACTCCACTCGTTGTATGCTAATTAGGCGCTGAACTCCACTCGTTGTATGCTAATTAGGCGCTGAACTCCACTCGTTGTATGCTAATTAGGCATTTTTCTACCAACCAATCATGTAACCAGTCATGTCCCGCCACGCCTTCCTTTGAGAGTATATA